TGTGTGTGTGTGTGTGTGTGTCGGTAATGAAAACGCGGCGCGGCCGTAATGGCACGTATCGGTACTAGGGTAGTTGGCAGCCGGCTGCAGGGAGGAGGGGGAGGATGAGGACATGGAGCGGCAGGCCGGCGGAGGAGCGAGAGAGGAGCGGAACGGCTATCCTCCTCCTAAAGGGGGATGGAGGAGAATCGCCCTGTTTTCCGATCAGGGAGATGAATGCCCGCGCTTTTGTCTAAAACGAGTCTCGCCGAGCAGTTTTGCCTGTCTCGCCGCCCTCCGTCGTCCCGTCCCGCGCCCTCCTCGCTCTCCCCGCCAACGCCACTGACGGATAGTTTGTTTTTTATACCCGCCCACCCGGAGAAGCCGCCGCCGCCGGGGGAGCTGGCCTGGCCACACGGCGTGATGCAGGGCGGTGATCCCCCCTCCCCCCTCTCGCTCTTCCCCCAAAGTTGCATTCACCAGGAACGGGTACCGTTTCTCTCTCTCTGCCTCTCCCTCTCTCTCTCTCTCTCCCAACATTTGCAACAGAGAACACTCACACACAGATAGACAAAAGATAACGGCATGGCGCCGTCGTGTCGTGAAACACTTTCTCTTTCGCCCCGTCTCTCACCCTCTCCCTTCCTTCTCACCCCCTCCCTTTGGCTCTCTCCCCCTCTCTCTCGCTCTCCTCAGCGTGCTGCTCGAATCGCCCGACGATCATCCGCCGGGCAGCTCGCCCCGCAGTGTCCCGGGCAGCGGCGTCAGTGTCTTTATAATTGATGTGACTGTCCCGCGCTCCGCCACGCCCCGCCACGCCTCTGCCCCGCCTGTGATGGTCCTTCGACAGGACGCAAACGGCGCCCTGGGGGACGCAGGGGGCGGGGCCGTGTTGCAGAAGCGGCGGTCGGCGCGCTGGCGGCAGGCGGTCCCAAACATGACCATGTCGAGGACCTAGCACCTCCCTGCACCTCCCTGTCGCTTGGAGGGGAGGGGAGCCATGGTGTGCATTCCAGCTAATCCGCGAGACAACTGAGGTTGCCGACTCCCTGAGATAATTCATCATCAGTTACTATTTGAGATCAAATCCTCACGATGGAATCGTCGTCCTTTGACAGGAAAAATGCGCAACTGGTAGAAATGTGTATATTTGCTTTTTAAGAGTGGCAGTTGCCATGTTGCTTTATTGGAACACTTTAGAATATTGTGCTGTAATGAATGGTGGTAACCCTGGGACACCTTCCTGATCGGTGCGGCCACTCTCGCGTGTCGCCGGCGTTATGGAGGTAAAAGCACCAGCGGCTTATCAATTTACATGAACTAGTCTGGTCACGCGAAGCATAGGGCGTGGAGGGGGGGAGAGGGAGTTCGGCCTACCGCCACACCGAGCTGGCTGGCGACCAGCAGTGGTCATACAAACCCATCGGCAGCTGAAGAGGCAAACACATGCATACCGTTATAAATAAAAAAGATGTTTCGACTTACTCCATGGCTTTGACAGACCTTTTTAGGACTAAAAGTTGCACACTCAAAAAGAACTGTTCCTGGAGCAATTACATATAATTCCTCTTGAATTCTTCAAGAACATTCAGTATAAGGACAACCTAACTTCACTTGGTACTTCGTGCACCCAAAAGATCAGGTACATGAAATGAATGCATATTTATTTTTTTTATTTATTTTGAAGCCAGTGAAAGCAGTTAATTTTATGTACCGGGTGTAACAGAGAATGCGCAACAGTGTTGCGGGTTTGCCTACCCAGTTAGCCCGTAAGGCGCCATGGCCCCTGCAGCCCTGGCGGGTATGCAATCCCGCAACACTTGCGCATTCTCAGTTACACCCGGTACCTGCTTTTTGGGTGTGAGTAGATGGCCATCGTAACGTGCAGAGAAAATATTTTTGTGTGGATGCACGACGTAAGTTTGTATAACTTTATACGGCCATTTTCAAACAAAAGTTTCCCGTCACTTTTCCAAATATTTGTTTACTGTACCCGTAGGATTCTTTCTGTTGCGTTCCACGCTACCACCTTTACGCCCCTCCCCCTCCCACCGGGTCGTTTTACGTTTTACTTTTCACGCCCGGGTTCACCGGATGGTTTTGGAAGGCGCGCGCGGGGAGTGTGTGATATCGCCTCGGCAGCTTAGCGCCGCGCCGCCGCGGCCGCTCCTGCTGCGTTTGATAAGGAGGCTTTAACCTCTGCTCTGCGCGGCTCGGCGCGATGAACGTGACAGCTTGTCACGGCTGATGGATGAGCAGAGCCGGGCGGGGCGGGGCGGGGCGCTTTAACCTCTGCTCTGCGCGGCTCGGCGCGATGAACGTGACAGCTTGTCACGGCTGATGGATGAGCAGAGCCGGGCGCGGGGCGGGCCGGCGGGCGGGGCTCTCTATACACACTGCACGACGCACTATGATCCGACAAACATGGCGCCCTGCCCTGCGGTACCCGCCCG